GGAACTGGGGTGGGCGTGGGAGCAGCGTTGGGTGAAGATAAGGAGTTTGGCTTCCTGTGTCATCTTGCTCTTCTCTGCCTTACGGCCCAGGTAGAGGGCACTACTCTGTGCCTAGTTGTCCGCTGGTAATATACATTTCTCCTTTAACTTACGCAACAATCTGTCCACAAATGAGGAAGCTGAGGTTCACACAAGTAATAAATAGGACCAGTAAGTGTCTGGGTCAGGAATGGAACCTTGAACCATGCCCTGTGGGTCATTCTGTATAAACAAACAATCTGGTACCTCTGTAAGGGTCTATATTCGATGCTCTTAATAAGATATAACTGCCAGTGTAGATGTTTAGGTGTGTAAGTAAATCTGGTCTGTGTGTGTACATGGTGTGTGTGTATGCGTGTGTGACTGCACTTGGGAGTGGGGTGGGAATGGGTATTTCTGGAAGGAAGGCAAAGCTTGGGAAGAGGAGTCTGCAGATCTTAGAGTAAAGCCAGGCAGGTTGGAAATCTAAGACAGAGCAGAGGCTGTGGACCACAAGGGAATGACTGGGTTGGATTTAATGGAATGACACTGTTTTGGTGGCCTGGGTGGGTCTAACAGCTGACCGACAGCCTTGTGTGCAGTCAGCAGCTTTTGCATGGTGAAAATTAAATGGCAGATTATATAATCAATGATGCACAGGCTGTCAGAGTTCTTGGCAAGTGGAAATTCTGAAAGTAGGGCAAATTCTGCACCGTCTGCTGGAGGATAGAACTTTGCAGCTGGACTTAGGTAAGAGTAGTAGTATCAGAAAGAAGCAAGATTTCAGGGAGCATGAGGAGTCACCAAATCCCAGGGAGGCAGGAATAGGAATCTTCAGGAAAATGCAAAGAAAACAGCTCAATTCTTTATATTGGCAAGTACAGGAAAGTAAATTTTGGGAGGTGAATCAGAGGGAGATAACAGGGCCTTACCTGCCAGATGGAGGATTCTGGATTTAGTTATAGGTAGCTTCAAATCATAATACAACTTTAGAAAATTATGTCCTGCAATGAGTATTTATTCCATGGGATTTCCAGGTAGATTAAGGGGCCGTTGAAGGACAGGAACTAGTCAGAGGGTGAAGAGTGAGAGTGCAGTAGACGGGATAACTGATTCCGTAGAAGTGGCAGGTGTGTTTGCAGAATGAAGGTGTTATGTGGTACGTCTCCTGTGCTTCTTCCCAGCAAAGCGTTCCATGCGTGCGACTCTTGTTAATGCTCAGAGCAGAAGAGGGCTGTCACTGGCAGAGAGATCTGGAGCCTCCTGACTGAGTGCTTGACATCTTAGTCCTGTGGGTTCTCCATCTCTTTTACTCTTTTAGCTTATAACTCATCTCCGAACCTTGCACCCCACACCCACAAAATGAAGTTGTTAGGTCAAAGAAAACAAATGACTTTAAGAAAAAAAGGGATGTGTGTGATCTAACATAGCCTTGGCCTTGCTGTGTCTTCTGTAGCACTCATCTACATTTTTCTCCAAAGAAGGACCCAGGGACCAAGTTTCCAGTTGTTCACACCTCCATGTTCAGGGCTACATGGGAAATAGCACACCGGAAGCTAAGAGACTAAGGAGAAGTAGAGCTGCCATTCCCAACAAGCAGTGATAAAACAGCTTCAGACGGTGTTCCTAACTTTGACAAAAGCTGCTCTATGAAACTCTCCTTTCTCTGCAGGTCTACATTTTTGCTCAGTATACCAGAGAGATTATTTTGTTTTTATTAAACCAAACTTTATTCAATAGTGCTCTGTACCAGACATTATAATCTGTGAAGAAAATATCCAAAACCATTGCATCATTAAATGGGAGGGCATAAAAAGCCCCAGGAGGCCATCAAAAGTGTGAAGAGAAATGGCCAGTAAAATTATGGTTTCCCAGAACCTTTCTTTCTGTGTATTATGTGAAGATTCGGCCATAGTTTTATCTTTGAGGAAAGGTTGAATTTCCTAGATCCATGGATGAACATCTGTACCTAGAACAGACAAAGTGGGCAGTCCAGGAGACACAGCAGAAGGGAATAGAGATTCTAGGAAGGAGGACTCAGGAACACTCTCTCTGGTGAATTAGGACAGCACTCAGTGGAAATCAAGACTTGGCTGTGATCCCTCAGCATGGGCTTCCTGCTAAACTCCTGGGAATTTGCCAGTGTGTAATTAACACTCCTCCCTCCTAGAAGTGTGTGCTTCTCTCAGACATGGGAGAGAGCAAAATCCTCATCTCTCTTGGGTTCTCGAGTTACTGGAAGTTGGACATATGAGCTTTTGCCTTTATGATGATGCAAAAGCCATACACAGTTGGTGGAAACCATGATTTGCAGTCTGAATCTGAGTCTTTTCTTAAGTCCTGGGTCCTCTCCACAGAGGGCATTTTAAGAGGTATGCATGATGACCTGGGCCTCGTGGGCAACTGGGGTTCAGAATCCCATTTCTCTCTCTAAACGAAGGGTGTAGACCAGTATCAAGGTGACCCCAACTAAACAACTATGGAGGGGCAAGGGTGGCACCAACAGAATTTGGGCCTCCCACCCCTCCCTGCCTCTCCCCAAAGGTCTCATTTCTTCTGCCTAGAGATTCTTATGCGCCCACCAACATTTTCTCTTTGCACATTCAATCTTATCCTATGTGATTAGCAATTGCATACAGTGTGAAGATGCTGTTTTGCCTTTAGATTAAAATATGTAAATCTTTCCAGCAAGCTGTCCAAAATGAATAAAAATGTGCTCTTTGTAAAAAAAAAAAAAAACCTTTGTTACTCTGTACTACCATATATAATGAATATTTCTTCACCTCAAGAAATATTCCTGCATCCCCCCTTCTCAGCCTTGACTAGCATCCCTCCTTGCAGATCTGTGTGTGTCTTCCCAGCACTGTCTTAGACGGGCAGCTCTGTCTCTGGCCATGTGGAGTCAGGGACAGTGTCTGTCTCCTTCGGCTCCCCACATTCACTGTCAGCCACCTGTGGGGCTCTCAGTAAACATGGATCCCTGCTAAATGAACAACTCTGGTTTCCTTTTAGTTAATGATTATCTTCAGCACTTTTAAAGGAGAGCCAACTTTGCCAAAAATTGATACACACACAAACTTTGCAGGAACACAGAACTGTGCAGTGGGAGGGATGCCTGTAATTTGCATGGTGCTGTGCAGTTTACGGGGCCTTATTTTATCTACTGTTTTATTTGATCTCACAAGCACATGGAGAGGAAAGTACGATGGGCGTTGCTATCTCCATCTAAGACAGGTGAAACTGAAGCAGCTCCCTCCACTGTGGGAGACAGAGCAGGGACTCACTTCCAAGGCCTGTGCCACTCTGTGACACCTCACTGCCAGTGGTCAGTGAGCCCTTTGATCAGGGCTTTTCTCATTTACTCCAAGAAACCTGATTATACACTTTTAATCCAATTCATTTGCAACTGGGTCAGTGTTCTCTCTTTCTTCCTAATTAGTTCCACCAAACAACTGTCACAAAGAGCTCAAGCCAGAGGCCTAAAGACCATCTAGCCTAGAATTCCACTCTGCTAAGTATATATTCCCCATCACAAATATATCTTGCCAACACCAGTGTCATTTTCTGCACTGACAGCCTGCGTGGCCCCATGCATCACACATGGGGCCTTCAACACACTCTTCACTGAGGGTTCATACCAGTTCACAGCCACATGGAAGCTCCCAAAGGAGTGTCAGCAGAGGGACCTCTTTTAGGACTATGCGACCTCAGAAGGGTTTGGTGGCTGGGCTCCCTTGGGTCACTGTTGCTACTGTCTTCACAGGCCTGTGACTCGTCCATGCTAGGCTTCCATGTGCCAAAATACGTGTTCCTGAAACACAACATCTCATTGTGCCATTTTAGTTCCATTTCAGTGAATAAGCAAGAGGGCCAGGACATGAGTGGCAAAGCTCCTCCTGGTTCTTTTCCTTGACCTCTTGTGACTGTCACAGTCCCTGGATATTTAAGGCATTACCATACCCACATGACAGCATGACCTTCTTTGTCCTGTGCCACTTTACCCAGCCCCTTTCTGTCCCTACTGGAAGCTGTCCAGTGGTGCTCCTCTTTCTCCATGTGGGCTTTGGTACTTGGAGCTTCTCTGTGGTCTAGACAGAGGTTGAACCCTATTCATACAGAGCAGACTCAGAGTCCATCTCATCACTCTCGCTGCATAGCCTTACTGTGCAGTATTCTCTGTATGTGCTACATCGTGTTTGCCACATAGTTTACACTGCCTTTTTAAATTAAGAGACACACTGGTCTATAATCTGCTAGTACTTTCAAGCATAAGCTAGATAAATACAATTTTAATAATTAACATATTGATCACATTTAATGTTGTATATTTACTTATTGTTGTTATTTTTTTTTGTTTTTGTTTTTTTCTCCGGTACCAGGAACCGAACTCACGACCTTGCAATTGCCAGGCAGGCGCTTTTGCCGCTGAGCTAAATCCCCAGACCCAATGTTGTGTATTTACTTATAATTAAAGTTCAGTTAAATGAAACCTCTCTCAGGTTCTGTTCTACTACTTATCTATGAAGAATAATGAAATAAAATTATCTGGAAAGATTAGATATAGAAAACCAAGTGTGAAAGGGACCAATGTATGCTACTTATACTACTTTTACAATATTGCTATTAATTTCTTAGATGGTGAAAGAATAAATCAGTGGCTTCATAAATGCAACATGACAGTCGCTTTAGTTTTAATATTCCCTTCCTCCCCCCGATTCTGGGACTACACCTCAATGTTTGGAACCGGCAAAGTGCAGATTTTTTGTTTGTTTCAAGACAGGTTCTGACTGTGTAGTTCAGGCTGGCCTTAAACCTACTAGGTATTCAAGGCTGGGCTCCAACTCATGCCCATCCTCCTGCCTCAGCCTACAAAGTGCTGTGATTACAGATATCTGTTACCACTCCCAGTTTTGTAAAGTGTAGATTTGTGGGGGAAAAGGAAAGTCCCCTGAAAATAAACCTCATGTCTCTCATTTTCACAGTAATAAAAGACTAGTGGCCTTAGTGCCAATGCCCAGCGACCCTCCGTTCAACACCCGAAGGGCTTACACCAGTGAGGATGAAGCTTGGAAGTCATATCTGGAGAACCCTCTGACAGCGGCCACCAAGGCCATGATGAGCATCAATGGTGATGAGGACAGTGCTGCTGCTCTCGGCCTGCTCTATGACTACTACAAGGTGGGTGCCGCCGTTCTGCCTTTCTCCCCACCTCCCTTTGAAGTCCAACTGCGTACTCTGCCAAGGGAAGCTCTGGTTTGGGGATGATTATTTTCTGTGTCCTTTGTTCCCATGCATAAACATTATTTACCTATAAATCGTACTTAACACCACAATGCCAATGCTTCCTTCATGTCACTTCTAACTTTATGGTTGGTTTTAGGTGTGGCTGTACCGTAATTTAGCTATTGCTTACTTGCTGGGTTTTTAGGTTGCCTCTAGATTTTTCAGTTTTATAAGAAGCCTTTAGGTACTCCAGATTTCTTAGTTTTATGAGGATTATTCCATGAATGGCTGAGAGGAAGATTTGCAGCGGTTCCAACCTGCACAGTCTCCATTGTTTCAAGAGGGACTAAATTTTTATTTTGCAAAGCCCTGAAGTAAGATGAATGTAACAGGAGAAAAAAGCACCTGCCATACAGTACTTATAACATGAGAGTATTGCAGAAAATCAAACGAAAGACAATAGTCTGTCTCAAGGATAAAGCTCTAGGCTTGGTGTGATGTGCTCTCCTAGAAGTGTTGAGGTGTAAGAAATCAACATGTATTTACAGAATGAGGAGACGATTCTTTGTTTTGGTTGTGAATATCTTTGACTTGTGCTAGGACTTGGCATCAAGGTGAAGATGGCTGTGTTGCCAAGTGGGCCTCGGGTACTCTTATTTGGTATCAATAAAGAACTGAATCTCACCTTCCCGCTCCTTTCATCATGGAAAAATCAGCATTGGGGAAACCACCAAGAAAGAACAATTTCCCCTGTCATGACTGCAGCTTCTGCTTCCTATTGCCTTACCTAAGATGAGGAACAAGGTGTGATTGACAGGTATAAGGGATAACAGGCAGCCCATCCAGGATATTTTAAGTGAGAATGTTATGGACTTGAATAAACACATCATTTATTATTAGGAAGTGCTGGCAAACTCCATGAATGGTGTTTTATGTACCCTTGCTGGGATCAGCTGATTTTCTCCCCTATCTAGAAAGCTAGAGCTGGCAAAGGTAGGCAGCCCTCTGATGAAGATGTAATACTTCCAATATGACTCCTGCGTAGCAAGAAGGGATTTTAACTCTGGGGAGTGAAGGTTCTAAGTGAAAGGATGCTTTTGGGCCAGAAGACTTCACTGTGGTGAAAAAATAAGCACGAACCCCAGAGTTTTATGGAGGCTCTTTTTCTTCCTTTCTGTTGGTGGTTGTTTTATATCGTGAATCCTTTTCAGCTGAGGATCTCATTTGAAAAACGGGAAACGTCCTTAATGGGGTGGACATTTTCAAAATTACTGAGGATGGCGCAGGACAGAATTCATCAGATTGGACTGCCTGGTATCTTGGACCATTTCTTGATGCTCGGCTTTTTATGGTCTTATCCTTAGAAATTGAGAAGTCAGTTTCCTTGATGAGATAAAAATAATCAAAAGCTGTCAGTTTTATCAACTTTTAAAATCTATTAGCATATCATAAAGTGACCCTGATTTAATCACCACAATTTCTTTTCCTAACTTTTATGTCAGATTAACATGCCAGTTAATTTTAATTAGGCTTTAAAGAAATATATTGATCTCTTTAGAAGGAATATATTCATCTTTTTTTTTTTTTTTTCCTCTGGTACCAGGAACCGAACTCACGACCTTGCGCTTGCCAAGCAGGCGCTTTTGCCGCTGAGCTAAATCCCCAGCCCCTCATCTTATTTTTTAAAAATAGATGTTATTGTCATTGTGAAAATGAGCATAATGTCAGGTACCTGTAAATGGACATTTCCCATTTTGGTTATTAAAAAGAAACTAATTTGAAACAAAATTAACTAGTAATTAATTTACCAAAGCAATGTATTTATCTTCCACAGTTTCAGAGAATAATTTTTACTGAATGGGATAACTGAGTATTAAGAGATATGGTACCTAGATTACATCTCCTCTTGCACGTTTGCTACCATGTCAAGGAAAGCTGGAATATTACATTCTGTAAATATTTTGAGATGCAAGTAGGGACTTTACATAAAACCTGAATTGTGGCCAAGTCTTTCTGTGGTTTTAATTCCAAGACTAGCAGAGTTATGTGGCTCCCTTAGTTTCACAATTTTTTTTTAAAACACTTTAACGCCTATGTGAAAAATAGGTCTTGTTTCCAAAAGGACTATGACCAAATGATTATTCCGAGGCCTTTGCAGTTTTCTGGGTGTTCATAGCACATATATGCTGGGGTGAGAGTTGTAAAGCAGTTAAATGTCCTATGCAGATTTTTTTTTCTATAACAAAAATGACATGTTAATGAAAAAGAGCGATTTTTCTTTTCTGAGTTAAACTTTGGGAAATTATTTTAACAATGGCTATCACACTATAATTTAAATTTTGCAGACTTGGCACACCTCTTCAGAGGTGTGAGTTGATCCTTTTTGTCACAGACACCATCTTTTCTCACTTTTGGTTCGGATTTATCAACTGTGAAAGGATCTTAGTGTGCTGTGTCACAGAGAGGTGTTAGTGTGCCACAAGGAATGGTGGCCCCTGTCCTTCCAAACTGACAAAAGCACATCTCTGGGGTTCTTTATCTGCTTCAAAGTCTTTTCAGCTGCATTTCTGTCACCACCAGATCATGGAACTCATGTTTTATATTTTATAGTTCAAGCAACCAAATGGGGTTTTGTGGGACAAACCTGATTCCTAATATCCCTTTCATTACAGTATCTACTGTTTTTTAAAATGCTCTTATTTGAGCCCATTTGAAAAAGGCCTAGGTTTTTAAAATGTGCAGGTAAAGCTTAATATATTATTTGCTAATTAAATGATATTTATTTAAAAAGACACATTTGTAGATTCTCCCATAATTTGGGGGCTCAAAATTCTAGCACAGTTCTCTATGTAGTTGAGGTAACTTGCCAGTGGTAATTCCAAAGGGTGACCTTTCCGTGAATTCTGTGCATAATAGAAAAACATCCCAGATTTAATTGGTTACATATTGGAAAAGTGGTTTGACTTACGTCTTAGTCTGTTTCTGTCAATATAACTGGATACCACAGTATGGTAACTTATAATGAATAGAAGTTTGTTTAGCTCATGATTCCACAAGGTGGGAGATCTAATAGTGTGGTACTATACAGTAGGACCTCAGTTCACAAATGCTTTGTTCACAAAAAATTTAGTTCGAAACAGAAGCAATCAGCAAAATTTTGCTTCTGTTTGTGAATTTTGCATCGGGTGACGAACACAAGTGCAACCATCTAGAATGAATTAAGTTTGTAAACTGAGTTACCACTGCACTGGCATCAGTGAGGGTACACTGACTTCATCATGACATGGTAAAGGGCATCACACCGCAAGTGTTTGAGAGTGGGTCTCTCTTCCTCTTGTACTCATTAATGTTGTCAGGGGGGACCATCCCATGTTCTAATCTAATCCTGACTACTTCCCAAGGAGTCTACCTCCAAATACACTAACATGAACTTGAAGAGTAAATTTCCAACATGCAGACTTTTGGGTAATACATTCAAACCACAGCAGCTCATTTAATCTTACTTGATTTCTTTTTTCCAAAAGTTTGTGGTTTGTAATTATCTGATTCCAGCCCTAATGAAAATGTGTTTCTCTTGTCAGTTGGTTCCTATCCCTTCTGTTGACCAATATTGTTGGAAAGCAGTCTCTGAGTTATCTATCCATCCATCCATCCAACAAATATTCACTAATTAGCTATAATTTTCCAGCAATGCTGATGGGCATTATGGGATGGGTTGGATACACAAAGGCAGATTGCAACACCTCAGAAAAGTCACAGAGAATCATAGTCCAGGACTAACAAGTCCTATAAACCTGTAACCACAGGCCTGGGAGGTAAGTGCTATAAAAGGGTGTGTTCTAGGAGCAGTACATTGACTGCTAACTTCTGGAGAATGCATAAGCTTTCTACAGGAAGGAATGCCTCCTCTATCAGGAACAGGGAGGGTTTGTCAGGTGGATAGGCAACAAGAGAACATGGCAAGTAAATGGAAGTGGAGAGGAGGGCACATAGTATGAAACCTTGCGTTGTACTCAGTGAAATCCAAGTCATAGGGATTGCTGGACCAGGGCTGGTGAGCAAAGGCGTGAAATTAGTCAAAAAGTGTCTCTGTCTTAGAATCTTGCCAGGCAGGCTGGAGTCTGGGCTTTATGTCCTAGAGAAGAGTCTGGTGATGGTCTTTTTGCAAGACAGACAAATGAATGAGTGAAAAAATGATTAAGTTTCTCTCTAAATCAGCCACCAAAACAGGTGCCACATAGAGACAAAGAAATAAGCCTGAGAAATGAGTATTTGAATGAAAATTGGTTGTGTGTTTGTGCATGTGTGCATAACTAAGAACCAGGTGTTTCAGCTGATCCAGATAGGGAGAAGAGAAGAAAGGCTTTGGGGGAGAAGGGTGAGTTTGGTGTGCTGCAGGATGTCCAGGTAGAGGTAGCTGATGACAGTGATACAGGTCTAGCACATAAGAGATGGTACTGAGCTCAGAAGTCTCCATGTCTCTGAACAGTCTGCAAAGTTAAAGGTAAGCCTGGTTCAAAGGCCTGGGTTGAAGCAAACCCAAAGGTTAGGAACTGCTTTACAGCACTTTGAGTTCACATCAGTGACTTGGCAACAGTAACTTTGCTTCCGCGGATCTTTGGGAATTGCCAAAATGTTGCAATGTTTAGAATCTGTTTCTTCTACTCCTTTAGCCTGGCCCTTTGCAGGCCATTTTGATGGATGGATTCATTCTCTCAGAACTTAGTGAGGGCCTGCTACCTTCTGTACATTAGGTACTGGGGACCTAACTGTGTACAGGGCCAACACATGGAGACTGTGGGTTTCTCATGGGCACAGCAATGTAAATGTGCCCTGAGGATGGTTCCAAATAAAGTGCGGAAAGGGCATGGGAGGGGGGCTGAGTTCCAAAGAGGACGTTAGGTGAGGACTCTGCTGTTAAAAGGAGCAACGCATGGTTATAGGAAATGTGGTTCCTGGGCCCACAGGACTTTTAAGCAGCAGCAGGAGATCAGAGTTGCATTTTTAAGACTACTTGGGCATCCAAACGTGGCCTGGCATGAACTGATTCAGGAAACAACGCAGGTGACTCACAGCTGCAAGAGGCGCTGAAGGCTGAGCCTGGAGGGTGACTTTGAGAGACACCACTCTGGATGGTGCCCTGGTGGCAAGGGGAGAGGACAAGGATGCTGAGCAATGAAGGAGAATGTGGCTGTGCCATCACACAGGACCCAGAAGGGAACAGAGAGGCCGAGCACCCCTCCCTGAGGCCGTGTCTCACTCCCCCAGCAATGACTTCCTTACTCTGTCATATCCCCTTTTTAAATTTTATTTTATTTTATTTTATTTTTTGGTTTTTCTCCGGTACTGGGAACCGAACTCACGACCTTGCGCTTGCCAGGCAGGCGCTTTGCCGCTGAGCTAAATCCCCAGCCCCTCCCCTTTTTTAAATAAGCAGTTCCTGTGGCGAGAAAGCCTTCCTCATCCAGCTGACAAATCCCTGTCCACAGCTCTGGAGCTCCCATCCTTTAGAGTCCCGAGTGCCTGAGCATCCTGACATCCAGTCACTGAGAGTTAGTTTCTGTGACACTGGTAGGAGGCACTGTGACCTAGGAGAAGGGCCCAGCGCGAGGCTGGTTAAAGGTGGTCCAGAGGGCGTGAGCAGGCTGTGTGATAGGCTGCTGCGGGCACAGAGGGCCAAGGCTGGGAATGCAGGCTCTCGTCTATACATGCTGCTTTCCCCTCATTTCCTTTTTTAAAAACGGTGGTAAAATGTACATAACACAGACGCATCACTTCAGCCACTTTTAGCTCAGTTCAGCAGCACTAAGTGCACACTCATTCACACTGCCGTGCCACCATCACCTTCTCCAGAACGCTCACCTCCCCAAGCTGAAACTCTGTGCCCACCCTACCCTAACTCCCGCTCCTCTTATACCTTCTGTCGCTTTGAATTTGGGTACCTCATATATTTGTTCTTTTGTATCTGGTTTATTTTACCTATGTTTATGTCTCCAAGGCTCATCCACACTAAGGTATGTGTCAAGATTTCATTCCTTTTAAAGGATAAATAATATTCCCTCGTGGTTATACATGTCATTTATCCATTCATTGGTTGCTGGACACCTGGGTTACTTTCTCCTTTGGGCTGTTGTGAATAAGGCTGGAATGAACATTGATGTACTGGATATTAACACTTTGAGTTAACTGTCTTCTTCAATACAAGACCAGAATGGTGTTTTATTCATCTCATTTTTACCTAGTGCTTAGCAATGCCCAGGATACTGCAGACTTTCCAAGTTGACCTATGAATGAAGGGCTTATAATGGATTTTGTTTTTTAACACACAAAGTGCCAGACACTCTAAGTGCTTTAAAATTCAACTCACTTTACCAAAAACCAGTACAGTATAGCGCTATCGTTAAGCCTGGTTCATAGACAAGGAACGTGGAATGGAGTTCAGTTAGTGGTAACGCTCAAGTTAAATCCAGGCAGTCAGTGCTCAGGTCTCAGCTCTTGGCTACCTCCTTTGTCGCCCTCCTATCCAGTGGTCTCTGCTTGGATCCATATTCAGGTAAGTGGAAGCCAGACAAATTGCTCAAAGAGTCCAGTGGAGGGATCTTCTCATAAGTGTGCTTTCATCTCAAAAGAAAGATCCAGAGGTTTACCAAATTTTTTTTTTTTTTTCTTTTTGAGACAGGGTCTCACTATGCAATTTAGGCTGGCCTTGAGCTCCCAACCTGGTCTCGAACTCACAATGATTCTCCTGCCTCAGCCTCCCCAGTGCTGGGATTATAGGCATGTGCCACCACGCCCAGCTAGCAAAATATTAAAAACAAAAAAAAAATCCAAACAAACCAACCAATCCAAACCTACCTACTGGTGTATTTGGGAACTGTGCCCAGGAGTACCCATAAGGCAGTGGGGTGACTGGATGATGGCCTGACCCACCTCCAAGGTCCCTCTCCCAGGCACATCTCTCAGTAAGTCTCAGGGATGATGAAGGTGAGGGTTAAGATGGCAGTGAAAGTGCCTTAGGAAACACACCGAGGAGGCAAGCCCACAGCTGTGGAGCCAGGCTGGATAAAGGGTGGCCCACATTTGCGGACTGTTTCTCCACTGGCTGACAGTGCTGCTCCCTGCCCAATTTCCTGCCCCCACCCGAAGTCCTCTCAGAGAGGAGGCTCAGTCCCTGTTCCTTTAAAGAATGCTCATCATTCTGTGATGCTTTCTTCTGCTCAGAGGGACCCAAGTTCAGTCCACCCCATGTCCACTCCCAAGGTAAGGACAACACAGAAGCATCACGGCCAGGGACAGTGGCTTTGGTCAGCTTGGTTATGCTTCTTTGTGACCCCCTCTTGTATGTTTATCACCACCTTTAGTCTCTGGCTACACTGTCACTGGTATTCAGGATACTCACTTTTAGCCATCTCCTGGCGCTCGCAGATTCTCTTCTCCTGGGGATCATTCCATTTTCCTTGCGTTTGCCAGCATCTAGCTCTGCACATGCTCACTGCTCCCATGTCTAAGTCCAGCTGATGACTGGTCTGTTTCCAGGTTCCTCGAGACAAGAGGCTGCTGTCTGTAAACAAAGCAAGTGAGAGCCAAGAGGACCAGGATAAAAGGTAAGATGCATGTGGAGGAATATGCCCGGCTACAAGGACCGTCCCCTTTGTCCAGTCTGTGAGAACGGTGGTATGAAACTGTAAACTCTGTTCTTGGGAGGAGGGGAGGTCCCACAGCTCTGCCTCCTCTGTCTGCGCGGTCTCACCAATGACAGTAAATGGCATTTTTTGGTTGTACAGCAAGGATTATGGGAAGACTCTTCAGATGAAGACTCCCTGCCATGGAGTCCTAAAGTCCCAGGAATTTTAGGTGATGGCCTGGCAGGAGGCCCAATCCTGGGATGAACTTTTCTCATCAGTCCCATGCTCTGTCACTGCAATTGGGCTCCGGAGAAGTCAGTACCACAAGGACAGTTCTTCACAAAGGAGGAGAGGGCCAGGAGGGCTGTTTCTCCGAGAAAAGGGGCAGCTGGGGAGGGCCAACAGCAGGGACAGCAGAGATGTATCACCCCCTTTTCCTGCTCTGCTGAATTAAGAACCGTGTAGATGACAAACAAGACAGATAAACTAACACGAAAAAGGAAAAATGAGCTTTATTTAGGATGAAGCCAATTGGAGAAAGCGAGCTGGAATCCGCAGCTGATAGTCCTTGGGTCCTGACTTAGGTCACCCCAGCCACAGAGCCCCGTGCAGGAGTCTAGGCCGCTGGTGGTGGTGTGGTGTGGGCGACTGGAAGATCCCTTCTCTTGGGCCAGCAGGATCCAAACAAGACTAGAAAGGGCCAATCACCCTGCTCAGCTCTTTCCTCCAAGGGGACCTCTGGGATAAATCTTTTTAGCTGCAGTGGGGTGAGAGGAACCACAGGGCTTTCTGTTGTAGATTCTTTCACATGCAAATATGAAGCCAGGAGAAATAAAATCCCCTGGTAGCACACAGGTCGCATTCTTCCTGGCCTTGATGGCAACTGTTTAGACATTTTGATCTGTGCCTAGCAGCAGGGCCACTCCCTTTCCCATCTCTGTGCCGGTGCAGCCCCTCATAGGCAGAGTCCAACGGAAAATTACAGCTGTCTGGCTCTCATTCACTGCCGTACTAGGGACTTTCTGAAGCTCTGTGCTGCAAGGAGTGCTGGTACCTCACCGGCAGGAGCAACGACTTGGCGTAGGGGGCTGAAACTCTTCAGGTCTTGTGACATTTCCTCCACACAGCCAACTGCATCGAGCTAACGGCTTGTGTGGCTGCTAACCCTAGACCAGTAATCACAGTGGGGTCTGGGCGAAGTGAATCTAAACTGTGTGCGCTGTCTCACAGACAAGAGAAAACCTCTGTTGTTAAAGCAGCACTTAACACAACATTACAGAGCACCAGCTGCTTGTTGTATTTTAATGGTTACTTTTGTAATTTCCAGGAAGCACATTTTAAAAAACTGGCAATACACCACCTTGTATAGACTAATTATGACTTAGTAGGTTTCTCACTGAATGTAATTTGGAAGGCTGTCATTTTGATCTGCATTGCATTCATGAACTAAGGTGCTGTGTGCTAACATGGTATCATTACAGCTGTTTGTATACAGAAGTTGCTACTTGGAAAAATAGCAGGCTCTCAACGACATGATCCAAATTTTTTAAAATGTATATTTAGTGTAGCATTCTTTGTGTGGCATTTTTTTCTCTTAATATTTGGTTCAATTTTAAGTTCTATTGCAGGTAAATCAGTACCGCCCAATAACTCTTACTTTGTTCTAGTTGCTCACTTTTTGGCTGTCATTCTGGCATTTTCTGGCATCAGCTTCTAAAGCTAACATGATTACACAGGCACAGTTACACAGAATACTGTGGTGCCTGACTCTGTTATCCCCTGGTGATATGGCTGGCAATCATGATTTGACTCGATTTAGACTCTATAGTGTGCTTATTTATTTGTTAATAAGAATGCCAAAAGATATTTTGACTTTTGTTCTTTGTTTAAAATTCATATGTTTTGCATGAATTAAAGAATTAAGAAATTTGGCTTGAAATGGACTATGGAGAAGTTCGAATATTTTGGCGAAGCCAATATAGCTGTGCCTGGGCAAAATGCAGAGTAGAAAGTTCGCAACAACAGCTCTGGTAATCAGAGCAGGTGAACCATTCACACCCAAGCTGCAGGACACTATCCACACATCTTAGGGCTTTTTACCCCCACAAAGGAGTGAAATGGAAATTCTACGTTACAATTAAAGAGGTGAAGAAATGCCCAGGGGTCACCCAGGGTGGTCTTGTTATGGCAATAAATATATTTTTTGTTTCTCTTTTAACATTGATTTTATCATGGAATCCTTTTTTAAAGGAACATCTATTAGCATTCCATGAGATGTTCTAAACAATGGAGTTTAAGAAATGCTGATGTAAATGGGTGGTCTGGGTTTTGGCACCATCCAGCTAACTGGATTCAGATTAAACACAACTTCCTAGGTCTCTACTGTGCTTTATATGTGATTCACTTTACTAATCTGACCATGAAAACAGGTTGTTACTTAAATCCAAAATGTTTGTAGACTTGTGATTTTATGCCTTAGAAGACTATTTTCTAAAATTATATCTATAGATCTATGACAGACTTGAATACATTTAGGTATTTTCTTGTTCATGTGGAGCCATTCTTTGCTCTGAATCAAAGCTAAAAAAAGAAAAACAAAAACAAGTCTTGCATGCTAGGTAAGAGAGGTGCCAGAAAAGCCCAACTCTTGGAAGACCCAGTCTTATTCAAATATTTCTCTCAATTGGTTTCAGAAAGTACAGTAGTACCTCCCCTCTGGTTACGAATTTAATTCTTTCCACTATTCTGCTTGTAAACTGAACTGGATGAGAACCGAATCAAATTTAATGGGTAAGTTCAGTGTTGACCTTACGGGGAAAATTTGATTTTCTTCTTGTCCAATTCGGTTTGCAACCCAGAATAGTGGAAAATTAAACTGATAAACTGAGGTACCACTACATGCTAGATTAAAAAAAGAAAGAACAAGAACAAAATTCCAGGTATCTGAGACAGAGGTCCATAAAAAACATGAATTTTCTCTATTACCCAGAATAATCCATAAATAAATGGCAAGTGTCCTCCTCTTACTCACCAGAGGGACTTTGCTAGTAAAATAATTTTTCTATCAACAGTAATCTTCCACTAACCTGTTTCTCCTTGCTTCTGTTTTGTCCCAAAATTCTTTAGTATTGATAAAAGCATTCACTCTAGCCTGCCAAGGAATAACTTTCTAAACCTTCTCTTTCTGTACCAGTGACTACGTCAGGGATCTTATAATACACAGGCCCACTTACACTACTTCTTTAAGACCCAAAAGTAATTCAGAGCTAAGGAAATCTCTGAGCTCATGTTATCTTTCAATTTGCTGAAAACATTTTTTTAGAATAATTTCTTTTAATTTTTCCTTTAAGTAGCTTAGCCCACAGAATGGTTTTTAAAAAAATCCTTCCTACCACCCCTACAAGTCACATTTATCCCTTCCTTCTTAGTATTTTAAAACTTTCTTTTGAGTTTTTAACCATATATGGAAGTATGCTGTGTAGTATACTGAACCGCCTAAACACCTCAGAGAAATTTTTGTCACACTTCCTTGACATCTACCATTTTCCTCATTCCCTTTTTTAATCCTGGCATATCATTTTACTTCGAAGATCTTCTGGGCCTGGGGTATAGCTCAGTGGTGCAAGTGCCTACCTGGCAAGCACAAGGTCTGGATTTTGATTCCCGGTACAAAAAAAAAAGAGATCTTCTGATTTGTGCCTCTAAAACATAAACATATTATATTACTTAAGCTCAAAATCATCATCACACAACTCTATTAACCATACCTTCTTCACCCTACCTGATTTCCAGTCCACATTCAGTTACCTCAAAAATCCTTACCTCATAGAGGCCTCTTTGGTTTGCTCAAGTCTGGATCTAAACAAGAGGTGCTCATCATGTCCTCTAGTTGAGATTTTAAATTCCCTGTGATCTCCGAGAGTCCTCCCACCCTTCCTCTTCTCGCTGTGTCCTGGGACTTGATAGATGCAGGCAAGGCGGGCCACATCGTGGTGTTCCTGCTTGCTCTGGGTGGTTCAGTCATTCCCCCCAGCTCCTATACCTGAGAGTTGGAAGCTAGCTCTAAAAGCATCAAGGGGATGATAAAGGGCAGAGCTCTCTCGCAGTCTGCTTTTTGTGTTTTGTTTTGTTAACGACTCGCAGCGGGGCAGAGCCCTTCATCCCTTCAGGGCGCACACGCCGTGTCCTCCTTCCTCCTGTCCTGCTTCCGGTGATGCCAAGACGGCCACTGCGCCCCGGCTGCCCGCTCCGCTGCCGGCCTCGGCACGCGGACACTGCGGCACTGGCTGTCTCTCTTCAGCCTTGCTCTGCTCGGTGCGCGTGCGCCTTGCCCTTGACTCCGCGCACGTACGCGCGGGTCTTCACACGCCCCGCCCGCTCGGGCCCTGCCTTCCGCCCCGGCCTCGCGTCCCCGTCCTCTCCTCGCGTGCGCCCCGCCTCGCGCGGTGCCGACGGGTCCCCTGCTCTCTCCCGCAGGGGCTGCGTGGGCGCCGGCGAGCCCGTGGGCGGCGCGGGCGTGGAGAGCCGCGTGCAGGTGCTGAAGACGGTGCCCGTGAACCTGAGCCTCAGCCAGGAGCCCGCCGACAGCAAGCGCGAGCCCTTCGCGGCCGAGGGCGCCGCCGTCATCCCCGTGTCCGGCATCGCCGTGGTCAAGGCCGAGGACTTCACGCCCGTCTTCATGGCGCCGCCGGGCCACTACCCGCGCGGGGACGGCGACGACCAGCGCGTCGTCATCTTCGAGCAGGCGCAGTACGACCTGCCCACGCTGGCCGCGCACGGCGCCTACCTCAAGGACGACCAGCGCAGCACGCCCGACAGCACCTACAGCGAGGGCTTCAAGGACGGCGCCGCTGAGGTGAGCGGAACGCGGGAACCGCGGGCCAGCGGCGCCCGCTTCCGGCAGGACCCGAGTTCCGGACACCAGGCCGGGCGTTTCCGGTTTCCGCTGGCGGTGGACTGAATGAGTGACACTGCCTTGGTCTGGTGTTCTGAGGGTGGTGATGAGTGTGGAAGGGTATGCCTGGTCTTTTTTTTCCTTTCCTTTTCTCTTTCCTTTCTCTACTTTCTTTTATTTCCATTTCCTTTCTCATTTTCCTTCACTTCCTTTTCTTTTTCTTTCCCTTGCCTTTTCTTTTCCCTTTCCTTTTTCTCTCTTTTCCTCCCTTTCTTTCAACTCTTGCGTGATAGCTTCATTTGTTTTAGTTTTAGCCTTAAATATTTGCAAGGAATTAAGAAATGTTGATGTGGAAACTTTCTTTAACGTTTTCTTTACAGAAAACTCTGTAACGTTTTCGTTCTCTCTAGCTTGCAACCTTTCAAATTATAGATACCTCACGATGTTGCCTATCCATTCTTTGATAAACAGCGTAGTTCTTTAAAACCTTGTTGAATTGAATATTCAAGAAAAAAAAGTGTTTATCAATAACCCAGTGTATGCAATTTATACTTTACAATTAGGGACTGCATAATGTCTTCTCAGTTGCAGAAGCATTTTTGCCTGCTTCGAAAGTTCTATGTGCTGAATCTGACTAGTTGGATTTGTGGGTAACTGTGTAGCCAACATCAAAAAGCACCGCGTGGGAAGTCCTCTCACCTTGAAAGTTACTTTGAACCCCCTTCGAGGCAAGGCCCACCCACTCCCCTAATTCTTGGTAGGCATTTGTCTGCCTTGTCACAGTGTTGTTGCCTTTTCTATAATTTCATATAAATAGAAGATAGACTATTTAGTCTCTTGCCACAGCTTGGTATTGTCAGTCTGAATTTGCATTTTGCTGACGTCTAGTAATATTGGGCAAAATTTCATACACTCATTTGACCCTTTCTGTTACTTCTTTTATAAAGTGTTTATTCAAATCTTTGACCCAGTTTTTCAATTGAGTTACTTATGTTGCTTTTATTAAGTCCTAAGTGCTCTTTAAGTGATACTAATATAATCCCTTTATCACTTATATGTTTGCATCCTATAGCCTTTTTGGTTTCTTGTTACTTATTTATGTATTCTGGTACTGGAGGTTAAACACAGGGCCATCCTGTTACCAGGTTCTGGGGTGCTGGTGTTTCTGCTTAGAGGTGATTTCTAGGTTCTTTCTGTCCTGAGCAGAAAATTGGTCCACACAAGCACAAATGGTAGCAAGGTTTTATTAGAGCTAGGAGAAGAAACAGGGTCTACAGAGCGAATTTGGGCTAAGTAAAAGGTAATTTCTAGGTTCTTTCTGTCCTGAGCAGAAAATTGGTCCACACAAGCACAAATGGTAGCAAGGTTTTATTAGAGCTAGGAGAAGAAACAGGGTCTACAGAGTGAATTTGGGCTAAGTGAAAGGAGGAAAAGAAGTGCATCCTACAGTATGAGAGCAACCACCATGCAAGAGAGAACATGGTGGCAAAAACAAAGTGTGGACTGTCCTTTTTGTATCACCCACTTCTCAGGCTGACGTCAGGTCTAGGCCATCATATCAAAAACCTGCTGGAGTTCTCAGGGTAAGTCCATGTGCAGGGCTTTGGGAACTGTTCTGTGCATGTATTAGGATCTTGTCAAGCCTCCTTTCCTAGCCAGTTTTAGCCATGCCCTACCTTTCTCACTGAGCTATATTCCCAGCCCTTTTAAAAATTTTGATACAGAGTCTTTCTGAGTTGCTCAGGCTGGACTAGAATTTAGTATCCTCCTGCCTTAGCTCCCCAGGGCACCCACCACTCCTGTTTCTTAATTGTATTTCAAAGAGCAACAGTGTTTAATCTGATGGTGTTCACTTAATTGAGTATGTCTTTAATAGTTTATGCTTTTGGATGTTGTGTAAAAAGTCGGTACCTAACCCAGTGTCAAAAAGATTTTCTCTCATATTTGGTTTTTATTTTTCTAGATTTGAAATATTTTCACCTCTTACATACTGGTTCTGATTCATTCTGAGATTATTGTTACATATGGGATGAAGTAAGGATTGAGGTCCCTTTTTCCTCACAGTGACATCCAGTTGCTCAGCACCATTCATTGAAAAGATAATCTTGCATCCATTTAATCATTTTGGGATCTCCTTAGAATAACCACTGATGTTATAGCTGTGGGCCACATGTCTAATTTTTTATCTAAAATATGTAACAAATGCTTTTGTCAGTTCAATTCGGCTTCCTCACTCTTTAGGAGCAGTGCCTCTGCATTTGAGCGTCATTGGCTTTCCAAATTTTGGCTGACATGGGCCGATAAAAGATGATGATAATGGCCAGGGGTGTAGCTCAGCAGCACATCACCTGCCTGGCAAGTTTGAGGCCAAGCGTTTGATCCCTGGGACACACACACACACACACACACACACACACACACACACGAAAGGCAGTGGCAGAGGAGCAAGTGTGGTGGCAGCCAGATACCTTCAAACAACTGCCTGTTTAGTTGCCACTGGGACAAAATGCAGCTGCCTGAGGTTGGGATTCCATTCCTAACCAGTAACATTTAAGAATAATCCACACTTCAGTGAGTACTTGTTATGTGCTAGGCATCATCTTAGTCCTTTTGTGCCACAGTAACAGAATACCTGAGACTGGATCATTTCTAGTGAACAGAAATGTATCTGACTCAGTGTTGTGGGGCTGAGAAGCCAGAATCAAGGAGCTACATCTGCCGAGGGCCCTCTCGCTGCATCGTCCGTGGAGGAAGGGTGAAAGGGCAAACAAATGGTACACACATGACAGGCGCTGAGTTTGCCTAACAAACCCACTCCCTCAATAAGAGCCCACACTCATGGTGACATCGTGCATCCATGAAGGCAGCTCTCATGCCCGCTCCCCTCCCGGATATCCCACCTCTCTGTGCAGTGGCTGTGGGGGTTGAGTTTCCAACACAGGAACATTGGACAGCACGCTTAGGCCACTGCAGCGTGGATCTAAGTTAGTGTACCCATGTGGTCCTCACCAAAGAGCCCTGTATGCTAGGTGCTGTTCTTGTCATCCCTGTTTTCTTAGTAAGGAAACTACAGCAGAGAGCCTAAGTATCAGTCATTCATCGGAGGGAGAAAGGGAGCTTGACCCATGCTGTGTTCCAACACCCACATCCGTAACCCCCACCTCTACACTCAGGGCAGACTGCAGAACCTTCTAATTCTCAGTAGCTCCACTGGCTATGACAGCGATTCACTTAAGTATCTATTTAAAATCTGAGTGTCCTTCACCTGTCTCCGTAGATGGTTCTTTCAGCTGGGGATGAGAGGTACGACGGGTTGGTAGCCCTGCTAGCTCTAGGCAGTACTGGTGGGAGCTGGTATGTCCCCAGGGCACTAGCAGTCCTACCACTGCAGCACTAGCTGCACACTTGACCCTGAGGATCGACCAGGGCCAGACAAGAGAAATTCCCCACCCTCCGATGGCTATCATATTTCTTAGGGCTTCGTGGCTTGACAAATGAATTTGTAATGTCCTCATAGATAAAAAGTCTTATAATTTAGCTGCCTATGTTATGTTGCTTAAAATAAGAAACTTTTTTTTAAACAAAGGCAAGTAATCTTGTAGAGTTTTTGATATTGTTGAGTATCTGATTTTCCCCCAAGTAGTGGGGGATGCTTCTGTAGAAAAAGCAGGGAACTGAAGCTATCACTTCACCATCCCCTATGAGCAAAATGCTTTTCCACCAGAGGCTTGTGCTGATGTGTTTTCTCATGCATTGTAGAGTTGATGAATCACAGAAGAGTGTATGGGTGGGGTCCATTGTCAGTGTGTGTGGGTGTTGTAGATAAAGAAGCTTGGGCAAGGAAGCTGTTGTATTTAGGGCTTTATTTTGGCATTTGTGAGAAAGAAAATTGCCAGAAAGTAGGGTTAAGGGTATTCTCACTGATTTCGGTTGAGCTGTTCTTTTAATCTTGGAAATCATTATTTACTTTACAGATTTTAATTCAGCCTGATGGAAATTAAATTGAATGATCTACAATGATCTTAAGGTATTTTGTTGCCAGTTGGTTATAAGAATGAGTTTGAAGTATTTGCCCCAAGAAAATTTCATCGGGGAAATTTCTTTAAAAGTTTAGTACTTCTTTTAGGCAAAGTATGACAGACAATTTCTGGAAGCCTCGTTGCATTAGCAAATTTCATTCTCCACTTGTGACCTATTCTTCCTTGTGTTTATGTGGTGATAAGGAAGAGATAGTTTGGATTGGATCCAGTTGAGGTGCAGAGGCACTCAGAAACTGGCTTGGGTATGTAGCTCAGTAAAGGTCTTGGATTTAACTCCAGTCCCCGCCCCCAAGGTGGGTATCTCAGTAATTGTTGTTCAGGAGTGGGGACGGAATGTTTCTCACTTTGGTAGCTGTGGTGCTGTCCTCTGTACGTTATCATATCTTCTTTGCTATCAATTTCTGAGTCCACATGAGCAGGGCACTTACAGGTACACTGGCTGATCACAGTAAAGGGAAGTGGTGCCAGCTGCCTGAATGCCTTTCATCATCCTGTAGGTAATATTGCAATGTTTCCAAGGAATGGTGGAGACCTTGTGACCATAGCCAGAAGGACCCAAGGAATTTGGCACTAATTCTTAATACTAAGTCATATAGGCCCCTGTAATCCATCAAGTAATTAGGTCTCATCGAAATGATTGTGATATTTTCCAGGTGGATTATCCATTTAATTTTTAAAAAATAAACAATGTAGTAGACTCTAAAGTTCTAGCTTGAAAAAAATGAATATTCATGCCTGTACCTTATCCACTGTTTTTATTTTTTTCTCAATTTGTGCTAAGAAAAATTCATGTGTTGGCATAGAATTCTGTATTGTAGTCAGTATAGATTTGACAGTTTTTTTGAGTTTGAGCACTCATGCGATCATGCTTAGTTGCATCATCTGAGGGATTAGAACCATAGAATTTATAGACCAACTTGTATAGTGGGCACCCTTCCCTCTGGCTGCAGAGCTCCATGGTATGGGCAAGAGATTTTTTCAGCCCACAGTTACTAATGCTGATTCACTGTAGTGGTGATGGGTCACTGCACATTCCTTCTAACACAGAACTTGGAAATTAATCCTTTCATTTGCAAAGTCATTTCCTTAAATGCTTTTTTTTAATTGTGCTAGTTTCCTATTCCACAATGTCATTGTTTCTAACTATAACTCATTTCTGTTGAATAGAACTTTTTGCAGCAAAGGAAATTTTCTTTTGTGCCATCCAGTATGGTAGCCATTAGCCACACATGGCAATTTAGTATTAAAATGTGGCAATTGGCTGAGGAACTGAATATCTAATTTTATTCAACTCTAATAGCACATAAGGTTAGTGGCTCCTATTGAGCAGCAGAGACCTAGACTTTCAAGCCAGGCTTGTGTCTTTGGCCCCTTGGACCTACCACATTTATACCCACCATTTTGTCTTGGCTCATGGTGGTTTTCTTTTTGTTGTTGTTGTTGTTGTTGTTGTTGTTTTTCTGGTACCGAGAATAGAACTCATGACCTTCCACTTGCCAGGCAGGCACTGTGCCTCTGAGCTAAATCCCCAGCCCCTATGGTGGTTTTCTTTCATCTAGATTACTTCCTCGCAGTCCTTTCACTCAACACATGTTCTTCTTTGGAGTCTGAAAGAAGCTCACAGATGATGAAATCTCCCTATAATTTTGCTTATCTTCTTTTCTTAGCAATGCATACTATGTGCTTTTCTTGTAAAGACATGTGAATTAATGGATGAATAAATGAATGATTCAACATAGACTTTCACACACAGTTCTTTGCTATTTTATAGTTTATTTTGTTACTTTTCATGTGAATTTACTCTATCCCTCTACCAATTTTTATCTGAGGCTAGTGCCATTTGTATAATTCTGTATTTCTTCTGGTACAAAGAAAATGGTAAAGCCCCAGATAATGTCCATTGATGCTTTGCTAATTGACTGAGTGCAAAAGAAAAACAAATCACAATTCTCTGTCACGATTATTCACCCAATGAACAAATATTAGTGCAGAGGGATTTGTGTCAGAGGATTTACTTGGTAAATTTCAAAGGAAGATCTTCTTGATTCCAAAGAATATGACTGGATAAGGAGAATCATAGATATGTGCGTAAATACCATAATTAAAGAACGTGGTGGGTAGGAATTGTAAGGGGAATTAGGGAAACCATTTCTGAGGAAGGAAGCCCTTGGAATTCTGGACAAAGAATGGAAGTTAGTACTCTTTCTCTCAGAAAGAGAGAGAAAGGACCTGTGTGTGTGGTCAGCCAAGTACTTTTCACCAGTATTCTATTCTGTTCACTTTAGGATCAAGAGTGAGGACTTTGGGGCATTTCCTTTTGCAAATGTTCTAAGATGTAGCAAAGTGTGTCCTCTTGTACTTTACATACAACTAAAAATCTTTGGACCTAGATACTTCCTAAATTTATGAAACTAAATTTAGAGTTTCTTCCAAAGACCTACTCTTATAATATTATAATATGGTCAGTTACTTTTACTTATTAGTATTTAGTAAGCAATATTGTGTTCATGTGTATCAGTCACTGTTCTTAGTACTTTATTAACCTATGTACTCCTTCTAATCACTGGCACTAGCAATGTAACAGATGGAGAAAATGTCACATTTGCTTAATGTCACACAGCTGTCAGGGAGAAGTGCTGGCACTTGACACGACCAGTGATGGCAAACCTTTTAGATCTTTCAATGATAATAAACAGCTGGCTGCGTCATGCATGTGGTAGGTTCGCCATCACTGCCCTAGATAGTCTTGCTTATGAACTGTGCTTCTTTCCATCTTGCTTGTGCTATGCCTCATGGCCTCTGTGTAATTAATGAAGGATTTGTTACATTTGGAGTAAATGTTGGCGATGACAGAAAATTGAGAGATAGTCATATGTTTAAAGAAACACTTTCTAGTACCTACAGACTCTCTGAGAATGCCTCTGGGTGTTTGAATACCACACAAAACTGAATGTGGTTTTTGTTGAGTGTGGCTCTCAGGGTGGACCAAATGCATGAGTTCTGCAAACAAATAGAAACTATTTTCATCAGCTGAAAACATAATGCCAAAAAGATATAGTTTTCCTTACTAAGAAGAGGGGGAAACAAGATACTTGACAGGGGTGTGTGTGTACCCACCTATTTGTTTTAATTCGATTACTTGCATCTTGCAGAAATTCCGGAGTGCTTCCGTTGGGGCTGAGGAGTACATGTACGACCAGACATCAAGGTGGGTTCTGGAAGACTCATTCTCACTGAGAACTGTATAATTAAAAAGATAGACTTTTAAATATTTTTATTTCCTTTTTCTTTGTGTACTTTCACTTAAAAAAATCTGACTTCTTTCACCTTCAGTTATTTTCTCTGTGCAAATGAACTTCTGCATCCTACTCCAGTCTTGGCCCAGTCGCCTTCTAAAACGTGGGCGTAAAAGAAGATGTGGTATTTACATGCAGTGGAGCACTACTCCCCATAAAAAAGGATAAACTTGAGTCACGTGTAGGAAATGGGTGCACCTTGAGATCATAGTGTTATATGAAATAAATCGGACACACAAGCTTGGGAATCACATGGTTTTTCCTATTGAGAAACCCAAAGTGTATAGAGAGCAAAATAAAAGAAGGATGACAGGAAGTAGGGCAAGAGGGAGAAATGGAAGGAGGGATGACAGAGGGGAGAGCAAGTGGGGCAAGGGGAAGGAAGATGTGTTACACACCTGAGTCCAGTCCTCACAAAGAGTATAGACACGCACTGTGAATGTGGACTGATAGGTAAAAAAAAAAGAAAGAAAGAGAAATTTCTATTACAAAAAATAAAATGAAATAAAAGAAGTGGGAATGCACAGAGCTCCATGTCACAATTCCAGCGAGAACAGTGTGACCCGCCAGTCACAGGGCTGGCTTCTCCAAGGCCACACAGACAGTGATGAGTGCAGCTCTGAGCACACTGATCGGACACGAAAAAGGGAGCGGAACCCTGCGTGCTTAGCCCGCGGTATGGGCAGGCCTAGGGGACACAGCAATTCCATGAAACAACCTTTATGTTCGCGTGTGCCTATTCCTGAGAAAAGTGTTCCCAGCTCGCCTCACATTTAGTCTTTGATGTAAATGAGGTGCAAGCTGCTGGCCTAGGTGATTCTTAATATCCTGTCCCAATGTGAAGTTTTACTATTTAGCAATAGTACATCCAAACTGCTTTTTGGGAGGCAAAAATGACACTAGAGTTGGTTCTGTCATGACGTATTTCCTATCTTCTTCTAAGATATCTTTTGTGGAATTTGCTTAGTTTATCAGCTTACCTCAGTTTGTCCCTCAAAATAATTAATTAGAAAAGTTAAAATATAGGTACAACCTTGCAGAAGTACCTGCTGTGGAAAGCTGGATCCCGTGCCCTGTCAGTAGGTTGTTTTAAGAGATGAAGTGTTGAGTAATCTTTGCTCCCAGCCTTCTGATGATGTGAGACTGCAAGAGCTGAAAATCTAAACTCGGTAGCAGGTCCAGCAAGTCAGAAAGGACAGTGCTTGTTATGGGCCCCCCCCCCCCCCCGCCCCCCGGGCCAGCCTGCACTGTGGCAGAAATAAGATTTTCCTTCTTTATTTAAAACATTTTTAACAAATGCATCTTGGTTTTATAGACTAATGGGTTTCATTTGGCAGATTTGTGGGCTCACATGACATACTTTGATCCTTCGCATTCCTCCTCACTCCCTGCACCCGCCCCCCCCAGTTTCACTTTTTCTTTTTTGGTTTCAATGTGCCTAATATATTTTGATCATATCTATAGGAATAAGTTTCTCTGAACAAACACATTGAACAAAAAGAGATTGTGGCTCATGCCTGCTCTGCTCACTTCAAAGTTAATATTCAAGGTTGGGAATATTCCGTGTTTCTGTTTTGTGACTCATATGTTTTTAATATACTAGGGAAACTATTTTGAGCAAAAACTTATGAACTTTTCCTGTAATGAGCTTGATACTGAGCATTTTAGATTTAGCAGCCTGAAGTCTCTATAACAACCACCAAACTCTACCATTATAGCACAGAAAGTCACATGCTGTATACACAAAGGACTGCAACTGTGTGTCAATAAAACTTTATTTAGGGGCTGGGGATTTAGCTCAGCGGCAAAAAGCGCCTGCCTTGCAAGCGCAAGGTCGTGAGTTTGGTTCCCAGTACCGGAGAAAAACCAAAAAAAAAAAAAACTTTATTTATAAAAAATAGGCAGTGAGCTGACTTTTGGCCCGCAAACCATCATTTACAACCCCCTGATTTACAACATCTGGGTCTTGAGTTCTGCAGGCGTTAAAAAAAACAGACACAAAAGACAAAAACAAATGGACAAACAAAAGCAACCTCCTCATTAGGGAACTAGATTCTAGTAGTGAGTGTAGTTTTGGATTTTCACATTTTGAAATATTTTTGACTGAGATATGGCTATCTGCAGCATCTTGATTAAAAGATGGTTAGCTATCATGAGTAAAAATTGAAGAAGCAAAAAGAAGGTCAAGTATCCTGACCTGGAGAGAAGCACCCACACATCTGGCACACTCTGTCCGTTTATAAGCTTCAGGGCCGTGCCTGAGTGCCGCTGAAACTCACCAGAATACTCTGCACAAACCCACACAGCTGGCCCAATGCATCATGGACTTTCTGCCTTTCCGAGCCATCTGGTTTATGGGCCACTATTAGAAATGTTGTATAGATTATACCGGCGATGACCTTTGGTCTGGCCTCATCTCTTTGCCATATGCTGTGTTGTGTCTCTAAAATATAGTAAACATTGGTTAATATTCATACAAAATGCTATTGATGTGAACAGCTCAGGAAGACAGAAAAGTCCAAGGGAGTGAATCTAACCACTGTTTGTTTTCTGTTCACAGTGGCACATTTCAGTACACCCTGGAAGCCACCAAGTCCCTCCGCCAGAAGCAGGGGGAGGGCCCCATGACCTACCTCAACAAAGGACAATTCTATGCCATCACACTCAGCGAGACCGGGGATAACAAGTGCTTCCGACACCCCATCAGCAAAGTCAGGGTACGGCTGTTTTCGCAGAGTAAAGTAGTGCAGGATCAGATGCATCGCTACCTCACAGCTTTGTGGCGTGGCATGGGAGAAAATTCCAAAACAAATAACTCTAGAACAAATGTCAGAGAATTGGAGCAAAACAGCGTATTGGCTTGTAGTTTATCATCTTAATCAGTAACCAATAAACCCCAGGGCAGGAGCGTGGTTGAGCATGCCTTCCGACTGTACCCAAGGAATTTTCCTTGTTTCATTCACTACCTACTTGCTACACAGGTGTTGTTTTCAACTGATCTTAATTTTTCACGTAAATAGCTGTCCATTGGGTCATGTTGTGGTCGAGAGAGAGCTGATGCTGTGTGTAAAGCAGAAAGCCGTTGGTCTGAGCCCGTCCTTGTGCAGCTTTGTTTAAGTTTTCTGCAGCCCAGGACATACTCCGGGCTCAAGGGATGAGGCATAACCCCCACTAGGAGTCACTTGGAGGAGCTTTCGCCTCCCTGAGCATTATTCCTGTTGGTGGGAAATGAAACCAGAGCCGAGCTTATGGTCTGGAAGCCTGCCAGTTTCTGGCCTGTTCGCCCTTGCCAAGAAGGGTGGGGGCTTATAATCCCTCTCTGCTGAGAAGGAGAATCATGGCGGAGCTCTAAAAAGAGGGTGAAGGATTTTCCTGCTCCGTTGTAAAATGGCCCTTCCTGGCCTGTGGTAAGATGCTTCACCACGGCGCCCAGCCGCCTTGCTTCCTCCACAGCTCCTTCTCCCTGAGCCTCTGCAGTGCACGCTGTGGAGCACAGCAGGGCTTGAGTTTGCCCCGGAGCAGGTGGAGCCAGGGTCCTGCCTGAATCTGAGCCACTGCGGACTGAGAGGGGCCAGGCAGCTGTGACTCAGAATCAGTATGTCCCAACCCTGTGGTCAAACCACAGAAGAGGATGGACCACGCCAGCCATGAGGGCTTATAACATAGCCAACCATGTCGACGGAGGCCTGCAGCGTGCCAGGCACCGTGTTAGACTCTGCCCGGCTCATCCTTAACTGCAGCTAACAACAGCCCTAGGTAAAAGCACTGCATTATGATATTAATGATCAGGAAACTTGGGTTTTCAGAAGCTAGCAAGTGGCCAAGGTTACAGGAATCTGGGCTATATCCCAGGCCATCAGACTCCTGAACCCAACTCTCTTAAACTGAAATAAGGAAGTGTTACTTTTATTTGGGGTAGAAATAACCACAAGCCACCCAGTGTACTTTTACACATGCGTGGGGAGGTTTGAGGCAGTGGGGAAGGGAAGAGCGAAGAGCTGGCCGAGCTGGAAGTTGCGGCAGCAGACCTCAGCTCCCTTCTTGCCACCAGCCCTTGTCTGTGGAGATCTGCCGCTGCTGCATCACATAACACGGACACACTTCGCTGTGGTCGCTTTTCTAACTAACATCTGCTTTCATGTATGAAAACTGCTGACACGTCTGTGAGGAGGGAGGCGGGTTTTGAATGGAGAGCCAGCCACCAGCGTGAGTTTGCTGTTACTCCCTGGGCTCCGGGGCCACCATGCTGAATGGTGCGCCTTAATCCTTTTAAGCTCAGAGTCGATGGGAAGACATTGCCACTGGCTCCATAACTAAATAAGCAAATGACTACAAATGTGTAATTGCTCCAGAGGGCAAGGTCTTCAGGAATGAGAGTGGGCGAGGGTTTCTTCTGGTATAGTCGGAAAGTGCTGGAATGAGGGGAGGAGTATCTCTGATTCTGTGAGTAAAGACTTCTTCCCTTGCTTTTGGCACTGCCTCCATTGCATACATGACAGTGAGTTTGTATTTAGTATAATGAAGCTATTGGCAATTTAGAACCAAAGAGGTTGTAGATTCTTACTTGTACGAGACAGAATGAGTTTCTCCAGCTCATTTTTATATGCATATTATATTTAAATCGATAACATAGTTGCCTTCATACTTTTTTGTTATGTGAAATATCTGTAGCTTAAATCTTTGTTCATATGAATTCATCTTTTACCCTTTCCCTCGTCTTCTTAGCATTTCTTTCATTACTTCCCCTATTCTACTCGGAGACTCTTAATTTGCCCAAGAGCAGATGTTTGCTTTTTTACAAATAATACTACATTCTTTGTTTAAGGACACAAAATTTCGAAAGCATGCTTATTTTCAATACACAAAAAAAAATATTTTTGATGTTTTGCTAACTTCATAAAGCAGTGAATTTGAGGGTGGTGGCTCTCGTAATTGTTTATGTCCTTGTAAAATTGATGTAGGATTCTTTTTGTCTCTGGGCTGTTCTTGTTTCTAATTAGTTATGTACACTCCATCCCCAATAGTATCCCTACCATTTTAATACAAAGCCAGCCATGCAGCTGAGCTCATCCAGGCTTTCTTTAAGCAAGAAAAGCTACATTAGAGAAACTTAGCTATAGAAGGACTTCCAGAACCACCTGACGATGTGAGACCATAGAGGCCCTAAGCAGAGAATAAACATCCCCGTTCTCCCCTTTGCAGAGCGTGGTGATGGTGGTCTTCAGTGAAGACAAAAACCGGGACGAGCAGCTGAAATACTGGAAGTACTGGCACTCTCGGCAGCATACAGCCAAGCAGAGAGTCCTTGACATTGGTGAGTAGATCGTTGTATTGCCTTTCCTGTTGGTGTACAAAATACCCAACACCCACAATTTAAAAGAGTAGAAGTTTAATTTGGCTCATGGTTCAGGTGACTCAATCCGTGGTCAGCTGGGTCCAAGGAAGGAATATCATGGCAGGAGGATATGGAGGAGTAAGGACATTCAGTTTATGGTGACTGGGAAGCAGAGAGGGAAACAATGCCAGAGAGGAAAGGGCCAGGGACCACATATGGACCCCAAGGTCACAGTGCTGGGACCCACCCAGGCACGCTCAGAAATATGCATTACCGAGCCCCTTGGCAGCTCCCAGGCCAATCAAGTTGAAAGTGAAGCTTACCCATTGCAGTCACAGTGGGCACCTCTCACTTGAGGGCTTTAATACGCTGGCATGTGTTGTGATGCCAAGGGGAGCCCCACAGCATGACCGCAGTGAGGGTCTATAAAGCACAGGCCAAGTCTGTGCACTTTTTCAGTGTCTACATTTATTACACATCAGGCTCAGAAATCAAAACAGGGATAAGAGGAGAGCAAAGCATTTTCTTTTCCATCAAGTCAACTATGTCTCATATGATAATAGTGACACATTAGGTTTGCACAGTGCTTTGAGTTTCTAACACATGATTCTACACCTTCCCTGTTAAGAGCCAAATAAGTAGTTGGCAGGTCAGATGAACTCTTGTCCCCTTTGACATGAACAAACTCAAGCTCATGTGTCTCAGAGTGCTTAGCAAAGGTCACTTACTACAAGGGAGTGTAAGCAGTACTAGATAATCAAGCAGATGACCATTTGAGAGCCCTTCCTGGCCGGTAGGGGAGAATGAGTCTGCAGTAAAGGAACCTGTGTGCTCCCAAACACAATGTCTGTTCTCAGAGAGCCCGAAGCCCCCTGGACACTACCATCTTCCAGACAGGAAGGCAGAGCCCATGCCAAGTATTTCAGTGGAGGGAGTCCTTGGCGCAGGCTGGAAAAGCTAGAGGCACAGTGAAGCAATGCTGCTATTACCTGTCGGGCTGGAGAATCAAAGGCAAGAGACGGTGGGTGTCAGGAGCCACCCAGCAGGAGCTGGGACCACAGAGGCAGCAGTTTCCCTCTGGGAGGCAGAGCCACAGGGGAATGGCTGCCAGACACACTTCCAGTGCCAGGAAGGAGGAGAGAAAGCCCCTGCCAGGGCTGCTCAAATTTAACCCAAAGCCAGAGGGCACATGGCTTTGGAAAAATGTAATTTCTAAGAGTCTCCTTCTGAGATAGAGTGAAGTAGGGGAAGTCAGAACAGGGATCTCAAAGTTGTCAAACAGTACTTTAAAACACAAACAGCAGTGCATGTGGTTTTCAGTAATTTTTGACACTTCAGCTACATGCTGCTGGCACAAGAAGGTTTTTCCCGTATTTACAGTTTTTATTATCCTGTTTTGCGGACTAAGTGGCTACAGTCCTGGTGGTATAGGCAGAAGGAGGGTTTCCGCATGTTGGGTGTCAGAAGATGTTACTGAGCCATGAAAGGGATGTTTGTTTTTATTTCTTACATAATGCAGTGAGGGACTTTCCAGAACTTCCATCCCACCCTCGCTAGGAGCTGTTGACCAGTGGTAGAGAGTGGTTAGTGGCCAGGTGAAGGGTAGACACTCACCGTCAAAACTAATTACTGGTTTGTCTTACATGTTTTACTCACTCCCAGCCCTCATCATGCACATGAACACACACGAACACACAAGCAGGCACACACACGCGCACACACACCTCTTAACTAGTCAGACGTATTAATCTAATAAACAAAGAAATGAAGCCAAGGAAGGCTCACTGACGTGACATCCTAAGTGACTTGTCCTTAATCATGAGTCAGAGTCCCAGGATAGGAACCATCTTCCCAACCCAGCTTGATGCACTGCACCCCAAGATTGAGACCAGGGTCTTGGGAAACGTGCCTTAACCTGCTCTGTAACCAGTCTGTGTCGAGCAGAGGAACAATTTTATTTTATTTGAAAAGTTAGCCTTGTAATTATTACCCAAGAAAATAAGAAGGGCAATTAAATAGAAATACAGGCTAGGTTCAAATAAGGCAAATAATAAAAAGCATTTTACTGGCATACTTGTTGATTCACTTTTGATATTGTTACAGGGTTTAGTTTTCTGGGACCAGGATAACTTCTCACCTCTTGTAACCCTTCAGATTTTGCTTCTCTTACCACTTCCTGTCTGCCTTCACACTTTTCTCCCTTGTGCAATGCACACACACGTGAGTACGTACACAGGCACATACGTGGACACCCACATGCCTTGCCTTTGAGACCTGTGACTTTGAGCATAAGCAGCTTCATGGGAAGCTGGCCCATTTGCTTTTATCCTGAGACCACGGTCTAAAATCACTGCCCTTAAGCTCAGCTTGACAAACACAAAAATCTCACACAGTCCTTTGCAGAAGTCAAGCCAAGTGTTTCCAGGGTAGAGGAGGGCTGGTGCCGGGAGGCAGGTGCACCGGTAGGTCAAGCTGCTATCCTCGGGAAGCCGGGCGTAGGCTTTTGCCTGCCGTGAGCCGGGAGGACTGCATGGGGCCTTGGTGCCTGCGGAGCGAGCAGGGAGCTCAGGGAGCATGTGTGCTGTGCAGCTGCCGCTTGTGGTTGAGGGTCTACTGATGGGATTTAAAAAAATAGGGCAGAAACAAAAACTATTCAATTTAAGTCTTTTTAAGACATTTGCGAGGCTGGAGGTTAAAATCGAGGCTCAAAGATCGCAGTCACCAAATCTCCACCAAATCTGTGGTCACTGGTTCAGCTGAGCCATCCAGGCATAAACCTTGAAGCTGGGCTGAGAAGCCAAGATGAGGCCCCTTTCCCGAGGGTTCTTCAGTGTAGTCCTTGGGTTCTGGGCTACAGAAGCCCAGAGACCCTATTTCGTGAGTGTGGGCTCTTGGCTGTCCTTACCTACAAGCACCCCTCTGGGCGGAGCGCTCAGCTGTCCTCAGGCCGCCGCATCTGAATCTCCACCTGTCTCCTCAGGGCCTGGCTATGGCTCCATGTGGAGGCGAACCGCCTGGAGGCCCAGGGCAGAGAGGCCACTGCTGGTCCCGAGCTTGGCTCTCCAGGTGCCCTTGGCTCGAGCACAGTGTGTCAGGAGGCCGTCTCTGCCTAGGGCACCGTCCTGTCCAGAGACCTTCCCTGTCACCCTGAAACTCACTGGACTTAGCAGAGCTCGTCCTGAAGGAACGAACTGTTTCCGTGTGACCTTTGCCTCCTACGTTCCAGGCTCTCTCTGTGTCACCCATTAGTGTTTTCTCCTCCGGCCTCAGAATATTCGTCATGGTGTTAAAAGCTGAGGTGCTGTGGGGCAGGGATTTGCCTCAGGGTCCCACATGCGGTGGTGTAGGGTGAACAGAAACCGAAGAATTCCACAATTTGCTCCCCTTGCTCTGCCATGTGTCACCTTCGTGCCTCAGCTCCTGGCTGCTCTTGGTACCTGCCAGGTGCTGGTGACATGCAGAGGGCTGAGGACGTTCGTCAGTGGACCTTGCACGGATGTCCTTCCACCCTCGCTTTCCAGCACCAAGGGCATCCTGCAGTCTGGATGGTGGCCTGTTGGCTGGGAGCGGGTGGAAGGTTCCAAAAGCCAGCTCAGATATGCGGTTCTTGGGTGTTAGGTCATAAAGTATTTGGGCTGGGAAAGGAAACCTTAGCAATTAGCTCTGCCTTGGTATAAGCAAAACAAACAAACCCAAGCCCAAGAGGATTCTGCTGCTTTTCAAAACACAGGAGCAAAGTTCTCCAAGTCTCACAAGTTATTTCTTGTAAGCTCCTTGAATCATAGCAATTACTCAAGGTCATAAATAAGTTCACATTCTGCAGCCCAAGGAGCGTTCCTGTGTCAGTTATATCTCCTGTGTGGAAAAGTCACTTAAACTATATTTGTAGTTTGATTGTCTCTGAGTGTAAAAGCCCTATTATATTGAGACATGGAGTCTGCAGTGATCTCATATTTGTTAACTCTAGTTTGAAGAAATGCACAATTCATTGTGCAAACATTCATCAAGCACTTTCTGTGTGCCAGACCCGACGTTAGGCCCTGGGGATTAAAATGTAACTAAGGCAGGACTGAAGTCTGGAGGGACGAAGAGGGACAGTGACTCCATCAGGTGACAGGCGACAGCACAGAGGAGAGCTTCCCAGAGAAGGTGCCTCTGGGAGGATATCAAGGGCATCCCCGGTCAGAAAGGTAGGGAAAGGCGCCAGAAGCCAAGGAAGTCCCACATGCTCAGTAAAGTGACTGAGACCAAGAAAAATCAAAATGAGATTGGAAAACTATTTTATGAAGCCTCATAAAGCCATTAACAAAGGCAGAAATGGTGTGACCTGTCATGCCTGCTAGGGAGCTGACAGAGTAGAGGGAGGGAGGGAGGAAGCCCCGGGTCAGCGAGACTGGAAAGCCTTGCTCTTTAAGGAGGGTCTCGGGGATCTCAGCGTGCAGGACCGTGAAGCGTGCACAGGATGTGCTGTTCTGAACGATCCCCGTGCTGAGCTGATTCCATGCACGCCGCACGGACTGAAGCCATCGGGCCCAGTGGAGGCTGGCGGGACCCGGCGGGCATCCAGGGCCCTCACACCTGCAGCTGGACCCGGCGGGCATCCAGGGCCCTCACATCCTGGCTGGACCCGGCGGGCATCCAGGGCCCTCACACCTGCAGCCCTGGTGCTAGAAGCCTGTCCACTCTTGCCGTGTGAGTCCCAGACAAACCTCAGCACTGTCCCTCTGTAAACAGCCACCAGCACACCTTTTCAAAGGACATCACCCAGCCATGGTCCCTCACTCGGTCTCTTTCTCTCTGCTGCTCTGACGCTGACTGAGTCTTGTTTAGGGGGATGGCCACGGGGCACATGCATGTTTATACTTTCATGCTGGTGTGTAACATGCCTACCTTACTTTCAGCAAACCCATGTTTTCCTACTGTTGAACAAAGTGGATTTTAGAGATATGTAAGAGAAATAACAGAAGCTGTAGCTGTGT